CAGGTATGGATGCTATACTTTAGTACTGCTGTATATGTTAGGCTTAGGAAATGTTATGTTCCCAAACAAATCCCACCGTACACCATGTTCTCCCTTTGTGATGGCCAGGTATTAAGTATAAGATTTTCATTTTCTTGGACTCAAGAGAGATTTAATATATGATGCCATAGATTTAATATGCTTTACTGTGATTTGAATTTTAAGCTGTGCTCCATCTTATCCAAATATGGAGATATTAGAGCTTAATGCTCTTAAGACTTAAGCAAACTTAAAGTGTGTACAGCGTGTGTGTGTTTTCTCCATTTGGAGGCTGTTTTTATCCATATAGACAGGCAGACGCATCCCTATGTCATTGTGCTCCAAAAGTCTACACCGCTGACAATAATAAATCATGAATTCATTATCCAAATTTAGAAAACACACTGAGGTTTTGTGCTAACTGGCATTATGTTTTGTGGCAGTACAGATACAGAGTAAAAACATGTGCAAAGCTTGTTGCAGTGTCTTTACTACAGAAGCAAAATGGGCTGATATCTGCCAAATGTGCCATCTTAGCAAATGGCACATGGAAATCCTTATGGTACCAATCTTGACCACTTTCACAAGCTTGACAGTGTGTGTAACATTGTGTGCACCAGCAAAACTGTGTTTACTTCCTAGAGAGAAGTAAACAAAGATTCAGCATCGACAGAATTTAGTGTGATATTTTATCTATTTTCCTTCAACAGGCCTGATTTATTAGTTGTTTATTAGGGTTGCAAGCGAGAGCAGACGTCGTACCTGCTCCTCTTGTCTGTTCTACGATTTTCACATCTTCTACATTTTCAAGTCTTTGAACAAATTCTACAACTATTAAAATGCCTCCAAGAGGGAAAAGAGCTAATAAATCAGAAGCGAACGAGGATGTTGAAGCAGAAGAGGATTATATTTCAGCGGCGCAAGTAACAGAGGTGTTGAGTCAGCAGAAGCAGATGTACACCGCACTGTTGAGCCAACAACAAGACAACTTCAAAGGTTTTGTGCAACTACATATGGAGACGAACAACAAGAGACTCGACGACATGACCAGAGAAATACAGGAGATAAAAACGAGTTTGCAGTTTACCCAGCGAGATGTGGATGTGATTAAAGCAGCCATGGGTGAACAGAAAATACAAACCAAGGAAACAAGGGATGATGTCTACAAAACTTGTGAGAGTCTAATAGCCATAACGAATAAAATGGAG